AACAGCGATGGATTGCAATGAAAAGCGTGTTGCTCGACTACTTGTCTTCAGGGACTCGTCATGTGCTCAAGTCAGTGTCTTGAGTAAGATAACACAGCTTTACTTCACCGTACTGTTCCGTGAGATGCTTTTTCTGGATTATGGCCATTTACATCAGCAGAAACCGGTGACTTCCCATCGTCGTCATCTCGCAGTCCTGCAGGCTCGGAGACTTTACGCTGCTCACTCATTATGAGCAACCGTCCTGCATCTATACGCTTAAAGCCACGGGTCATCGCTCATCAGATGCTGTTGAACGTTAGCTTCACCCTCAGGCGAAAATGCCATGATCCATTTTCAGAATGATTGTTACTCATTATCTACATGCATGCATTTCATCTCGGTCATTCTAGCCGTAATCCTTCTACATACAGCGACTCTGGTTTAATTCTAGTAAATAAATATTAATACCTTTTTGAACTTTCATCACCGCACCACCAAATGTAATGTGTGCTGCCTGTATTGAGATAACACCACTAGCCCTATATAGAGCCATATACAGTATTAGTCATGTGGTATAATGCAATATGGTAAGAGGCACGTGGTGTTATTATAACGATAGCTTTGTGATCTAAAGCTAATGGGTCTCCACATTGTAATATTTTTACCGAAAGTGTTTGCTGCATTAAAATTTTTACGACGGCATTATTTACTGTTTTTCCACAGCTGCTCGTTTTATTATCTTTCTGAGTGTAAGATGGTGTTTCCCATAACTACTTCGGCTCTAATGGCAGCACAGATCCCGTATAACTGTTCTCCGTTGTAGCCTACTGTAGCTCTCAACTCTCAACAGAGCAACTCAAGTTGGAGTGTTGTGTCAGGGGTAAGGATGTAATTCTGAGGGCAACTTGCAGGGTTTAATACCCCGGTTGAAATCTTCCTGTAGAAAAAGTTACGACTGAGACGAGAAGAACGGCACAAAGATGTGCTTCATGTGAAAACGTTAGAACCTACTCCTCGGGCACCTGTCTGTGTTCCTGACAACAAGGATGCAAATGTGAAGTTTTAATCAGCTTCTGGAGTGACGGCGGTAGTTTTTTTTGCTTTCTTCTGCGCTGTGAGAATTAGGTTTTGATTTAATCCATCAACACTCAATTCCCTGTCTCCTCTGAGATTTAACGGTGGTAAAACTTTATGATGCGAAGGAATCAAAATACTTAATCAAGCCGAGAGGAGAGATTTGCTGATTGTAGGCGCCGATAAACTCCAAACTGTTTTTGAGAGCGTTGACACTTTGTGTGTGATGAAGTGAGAGTATTTTTGTGTGATTCCAGAGGAAGCGTCAGTCGTTCGTACGCAGCTGTTATTTCTGACAGCGAAATTCCTCAGACCAAGCTTGCAGGCGCACGCACTCGCTGATTAGATCAGATTCATGTTACTGTTGTTTCTGACAGGCCGCTAATGGCTAAATGTGAATTTAATGAATCAAACCTAGCAGAATCATCCATCTCCCCATCTGCAGGGACCGTATAGGTGTACAGCATCAAACAAATCAAATAACCCGAGAAGAATGCACGAGATGGGAGGTTTCCATAGACCCACTTATACGCATGAACAGAAGCAATATGAGCAGATTCGTTTTTTTATTGTCAAGGAAATATGTTGGAATGCATGCACGAGTGGATGTAGTCGGTGGTGCGTGAACCATGAAAATGTCAGGTTTCGTAAGATCACAGATAATTAGCTACTGTCAAAACATTCATAGTGTGAAATTGATTTCCACAGCTGTCCGGACGTAAGGAAACAGGACACAGTAATATCTCCTTTGTCTTGAAAAGAGTAGTGAAGTAGTGCGCGAGGATAATTGATGGACTATATATCTACGCTGCCTCCACATTAAATGCTGCCTCCACTGACTCGGGCCCATCCTCCACCTCCGGAAGATTTATTCCGCTTCCTGCAGAGCATTGATATTCTTCTTTGGGCAGAGCAGATGGCAGGCGGTGCATTTTTACAATCTCATTCTCGGTACATGTGGGAATTTTCATCATGATACAGTTTCGGTGCATTTATCAACATATCATTATCCCGCAGAATGGTTCATATCCGTACCCAAAATGGCCTACAGTATTTAATCAGACAGTAAGAACGAATGAGTTCTGTTTCTGTTGTTCTGTTTCTAAAGCATAAGGTAAGGTTCATGTCAACCTCGAAAAACAAGCCTCTCTACATCAGCCGGGAGCAGCGCAGAGGAGAGAGAGAGAGAGGCTTCGCTGTAAAAGATCAGAAGAAAATCTCCATATGTTAATAATATGATATTAATTCTATTACCACACACTCACTAACGCAAACACAAGGAAGAGACTAGCAGAACCTCGAGGAGGACCGTCGTCCTCTGCGGGCCTTCGGATGACTCGGCAGGATCCTTTTTAGTAGTCCTCTGGGTGGAAAATAAAACAAGCAGGCAAACTAACAGGCAACAGCAGCGAGTCTGTGTTTCCATGAGACAAGGACCTTAAAAAGGTCGCTGTGTCTGTTTTTAGGAAGGAAGACTATGGCAACAAACCTGCCTAGTATTGATTTGACATAAGCATTGCACAATATTGTTACTGCAAATGTAGTGTTATGGGCATTTAGACTATGTGAATATGTAATGCATGCCCTTTATTTGGCTGGTTTGCACTGGGAACCATCTGGCCGTGGATATCAAGGAATCGAGTGAACTTGTCATGGCAGTTTAATCCTCCCGGGCTTACAGAGCTCATCTGCTGTGAGGATCAATTCCCTGGGGTGCAAAGGCCATCACCGACCTTGTTATAGTACAGTTCAGTAACTCACCCATGTGCAGTGTTATGGTCCCGATCGCAAGAAAATCAGTGCAACTTTTCTTAACCATTGACAGATTAAATTCCCGTCTCTATTGGAGCATCATTCTCATAAGAGTATCCTGTATAAGAACCTGACTGAACTCTTTGTTATTAAAAAGGTTACACAAAGGAGCACCTTATAAGTTCTGCGGGGATGTTTTTATTTTTGTAGGCCAAACCCGGAACTGGTTCCCTCTACAAAAACATTTTTCCATTGACCTTTTGTAATCATTTTTGGATTATGCCAGAAAATAAACTGTTATGATACTTGGACGTTTTGTTCAGCAAGATAATTAACACCGCTTTTATGATTTTTGAAGCTTGTGCAAGCGGCAGAGGTACAGAGCTAACGTTAGCCTATGAACAAACTACACGTTGTCACATGAGCGAGTATACAATACGAGGCTGTAGTCTCATTTAGCCATTTGTTTGCCTTTGTTAAGACACGCAAAAGCTTCAATATGCACAAAAGAAGTCTTTACTGATGTATTTTATACCTTGTTGGACGAAACGTTAAATTCTCTAAAGCTTGTTTGAACCACAGACCTTATTTCAGGCATCAAACTAAAAGCCCATTGACTTTGAGACGAGGGAACCGAAAGTACAACTCATTTATTCGTTGTTTTTAATTGGCACTAAATACAAAGTACAGCTGAGGCTGCTGGCAATGTCATTAGTTCTGCAGGTATTTGATCTTAAACCAATGTATTGGCCAAATGGTTATTTGGACTAGATGACGGTGCTACGATGAAAATTATTTCCCATAAATGTCCCTTGGACGGCATTGTCCAATCACAGCCTTGCAACTGTAACAAGGCACGGCAGGACTGTCAATCTTTTGTTTCTCCAAATGCAGAAGTACTGGACATTGGACTCTAGTAAGGGTGATACTTACTTAATAAGTGGCAATCTAATAAAGGACCTTAAATTGTTTTACACTTCTAAACGGCCAGAGTCGGGATGAACTGTCCTCAACCAAATATTCATGGCAACACATCCCATTGTAGTCAAGACATTTCACTCCAAATCACAAATGTCAACCTCATGGAGGCGCGAGAGGAAAGGTCAGACCTCACCAATGTGATTAGGCTTCATCATCTGGGCATCATGAATGTCTGTGCAATATTTTCTGCCAATCAATCTAGAAGATGCTGATGAATTTTGACCTGCCGTTAATGCTACAGCAGATGAGAAGTCAGGGGATCGCCAGAGTCAAACAGGACCATCCTCTGGGTACCATGATTATCTGTACAAAATGTCATCGCAATCCATAGACAGATGGACATTGCCATCCATAAAGCCACGCCATAAGCAAATGTACTCTACTTTTCGAAATGGTTCATGAAATATAGATCAACATCTCGCTAGAAAACTAGAAAATGATGTCTTTCTATGTGACATAAGACATATCATGCCATGCTGTTCCTGTGGAGTTCAGGACTAATCCTTCAGGCTGCAGCACCTACAGTATTTCTGGTCCGTTGTTTGTGTGCTTTCTCATTTGTCCTCATGCAGGCTAATGAGGGAGACCACATAATGTGCCGGAGCAGTGTGCTGTATAATGATGGAAGCTGTCTGCCGTTCTGTGATGAACTTTGAAAGGAGTCCGGCTTGTTTGTGACAGCTGCCTCGGAGCCAAAATCACGGCCGTCCAGTTAATTACAGAGAGCAGAAGGAAAAGTCCAAAAAAGTCTGGACAGAAGCTGGACAACTATGACAGAATCAAATGGCAACGCTCCCTCAAATAGTTTTCTTTTTTAACCCGTCTTCTCTCAAAAACACAAAGCAGATCAAATAATTTATGTACCCCAATAACGAAATATAAACCTGTAATCCTGAACTAGAATCTACTGGATTTATGCAGGTGCTGCTGGTGGGATCCGATTCCCACTGAGCTGTTCTCAGCTCAGTGGGAATCAGTCAATCAGTTAGCCTGGCTCTACATGGAGAAGGTCATCAAGCTGAGAAGGGAATAGATTCAGCCCGGCTCATTCTGAGGAGGTTGCTATTCATAGTTTGTCATCAGAATGCAAGTCCCACAGCTATCCCTGCAGAGCGTATGTCAATGCAATATATCAGACATACTGCAGCAGCCACTTTCGACGTGTAGCTCGAGGCTTTTGTCAAATGTTTTGAATTTACATAGACTCTACACCAGTTCCACACATTTTTTATTTATTCAATGTACATTGATACACACCTTGATAGTACCATGCGGGTAAGAAAAATGCCTCTGGGTGAGATATTCTGTTCAGAAAGGAAAGCTGTAGGCCAAGTTTCCTAAAAACAACCTTCAATCCAACGTCAGCATTTGCTCCATCTACACACATGTAAACGGGTGTTTTTGGGAAACGTAGTCCTAAAGCCTTACAGAGAGAGATGTTGCAAGTATAACTATTGAGGCCGGGATAAGTACAAAAACATATTCTAACACCAAACACCAGCTAGACTTCATGATACACGGGACAGGACAGAAACCAAATCTTCTTTTCTAACTGTTTGTTACTCATTTATTGATACTGCAGTCAAATCATAAATTATAGTAATTATAATAATAGGATAATGAAAATTCACAGACATGTTATATGATAAACAGGCTATTGCATTCTCTCCCCCCTCCCCCAAAACCCCATCACAACCCCTAGAGTTCCAACAGGTATGAATTTGTTTACATGCAAATGTCACACCATCGTCACTGCGCCGCCTCGTCCGCCTGCCGTCCGTACACACAGTGGCAGAGCACCGTGTGGCGCTCACTAGGACTTCTCAACGCGCTTCTTCTTCTGGAACTTCCTAAACTGGGACTGAATGGCGACAGCCGCCTTCTCGGTCTCCGGGTTTTCCATGTCGATGTCAAAGTCCTCTGGGACGTCCGTCTTGGACGCATCTGGAGGGAAAAGGAAAAGATGGCCGTCACTCCCCCCTCCCTTTTGCAATTTTTCTGTCTCAAACTTTTTGACAGACCATCTATGCTGTAGTCAGTTTTTCAAATGTGACATTTTATAATGATTTTGTTCGCCCCTTTATCTGCAACTGTGCAGAACTACTGGGTTTAAACAGAATGTCTATTTTGGAGTGAGGACAAAGAGATCCTATTTAAATAATTCACATGCAGACTTCTGTATAAATTATCCAGTGTGTTATGATTTTAGTTTTATATGTGCAAATCTCATATATATATATTTTTTTACATTTTCCAAACACTTTTAGTCTTGATCACAACACCTTTTTGTCTTGTCACGTTAAAAGTGAGGCCGAATGTAAGTGTACAGGTAACCAAACAGGGTTATGGTGGAGCAAAACAAGTCTTCCACACGGATCATCAGCTGGAAACATGATGTCCTTTAGCATGACATCATGTATGTAGCTATATGTTGCATAGATATACACAGTCAGCTGAGAACATTACAAAGTTAACCAGAAATGGCATTTTACACTAATTTGTGCAGCTACGGTTAGCTTATTATAATTAGAAAACTGCACGGCAGTTTTGTAGTACAATATTGTTCCATATAAGGTTTGTAACATTTCCTAACACTGCTGGTACTCTCAGAAAATGAATTAATCATGATTCCCGACATTAATACCGTCACAATAAACCACCATCTCTACAAACAGTAACATGATGTAGTGACACGTAACCGTAACGAGCACTCCTAAACCCCGTCCCTCATTACAGTGGTGGAGCAGAGTTCCCATGGGGGAGCAGATCACTTGTCAAAGGCCAGAGCATGAATTGATCGCCGGTTCTTAATCCCCTCTGGAGCTCAGCCAACGCCGACCGAGAAGACCTATTAGGACATTTAGGTTTAATCTCTCTACTTGGACATGCTGTGACTTGACAAAATACCAATCAGTTGTGGTGTTCCTGATATCAATCTTGTATCGACAAAAACAAAAAAAAGAAGTGTTTGCTGTAGCACAGGAGCGTGCTGCTGAAAGGAGCTACAGAGCTGTCGGCTGTAAAGAAGCAGAGATATTCAGGACATTGAAAGGCCACAACAAGCTAACATTTAACCGAGCAGGTTTCCCTGTGGCTGGAACGTATGTCTGCGACAGCTTATGTCACCGCAAGTAACAAACCAGATGATTACGTCAGACTTACGTTAATATATCCTGAAGCTGATGTAAGATTCTTGTCATCAGTCTGCACTGACTCTCACGCTGAGATGAAACCTAATCACCAGATAGCGGTTTCAACCTTTTTATTTCTCAGAGTAACTAATTGTTTCACGACAGAGTACAGCAGGGGAGCCATTTAATTCCTCGCAACACCCCTGCAAAGGATTGACCCGCTTGGGTTTGATCAGCAGAGCCTGCTGTACATAAACACACATGACACAGAGAGAGAGAGAGAGAGAGAGAGAGAGAGAGAGAGAGAGAGAGAGACTCATGTATCGACTGTGCAGCTAATCCTTGGGTTCCCTTGGGGCTGAGCTGGAGTACTTCTGTCTTGCTGTTCAAGGAGGAAACGCTAACTGCTGTGTCACGCCCAGCTTTGAATCCCTCATTAATTGATATTGAGTTTTCCGACGCTCTAATGCCTGCTGCTTTCTTCCCAGCAGCATTAGCTATTGAGCTGTACTGTCCGCCGCGTCAACAGCAGACATGCTCATAATCTTTGTAATACAAGCTCCTTTTATTAATAAAAAGATGACATTGTCGGAGTGTAGGCACACACAGGAGGTGATCCGGTGCTGGAAGGAATATTGTAATTGTGACGGGGGATGTGCAGCTTGACACAGTAATGAACAAATACCACCTTTACGCCTTGTGTTTGACCACATGAATGTAAATGCATCCAAAACGCATTGATCCCACCGACTCCACCGCTAACGGAGGTGTTCAGGGATGCACGGTGACCACATTGGACGTAAATGTAACCTCAATTGCATTTTCTATCCACATAAAACAACTGCGTAGGCGTCGATACAAAATCGTGTTTCAAACCAGCGAGGTAACAGCCGTTGGCTTTAGCCAATAGTGATTCACGGATGGCAGCCATCTTTTCTTTCTTTCTTTCTTTTTTTGTCCTGTGCAAATGAGAGGAGGAAGTGATATTTGGTTGTTTGAGCTGGACTCAATGTGGATGCTGGAGAGACGTATTAATACTAGACGTCAATTTCAATTATTACAGAGACAATCTGGATACGAGACACATTTCTATGCAACATGTAAAAGGGGTCAAAGTCAAGTTTTTGGTTTTTCTAGTCGGAGACATTTCTGACCACTTATAGCGAATGGTGTTACAGTTAAGAGGTCAGTATGCTTCAACCAAACTGCTTGTCAAATCGCTAAAACGTTTTTTCCTTGGTCGAACGTCACACCGTAAAAACTAGTTTGGTTTAAGAACATCCCAGCCTTTAGATTCTGACGAAAAAGGGTCCGATCTTTTTGAGAGAGCTCTCAAAGAATCTAAGCAGCAACAATATTTAACAATACATCTTACTTGAATCAACAATAACCAAAAAATGGGTTTGAGGTGGCAGCGTCACTGTTGGCCTCAGCGTATTATCACAGTTACAATGAGCCACACAGCTGTGGAGGAGCAAGTGATTGTGAAACCAGCTAATGCAAGCGTGACTCCAGCGCTCTGCCTGAACTAATGCCACCGTGTCTGGAGGGCAACATTTAGTTTCATCAGCACGAATAGAAAAAAAGTGTTTATATTCACAACTTTATTTGGCTTCTTTTCAAAATATCTTTAGTTTTCTGACATTATTTTCTTCTTTCACTCTCACAATGCAGCGCAAACACAAGTCAGTGAAGATACTTATTACTTTACCATCCGTATAGTTTTCGTCAGTCGTATTTGACAACTTTTGTAGGGTGGCCACTTTAAAAGCAGCATCTCCTCTACTAATCAAGTCCAGTTTAATAATTCAGAGGAATCATTCATCTAAAAGAATCATGTCGTCCTCTTGATGGAAGGCTTTCCTCAGGCCTGACGATAGATTTTCATCATTTTTCTTTTTTCCAAGACAGGAGGCAGTGGCTGAATGTGACAATGACGGATCATTCTCCTCAGTTTGAGGATTCGTCTCATCGACACACACCCACACGCAACGGATTACAAACCCATTACCTCTGGCAGCCCTTTGTGTGTCCCTGTCTTCACCTAATGGGGGGGGGCGGTTATATCTGCTGTCAGAGTGCCCGTCTGGATCATCTTGACTGTGCTTTCAGTGAGGAGGAGAGAAATGTATTTATTTCTGTTTGGTAACTGCTGCAATATAAGCCTACATGCTTCTAGGTTTCAGGCTCAATGGATTTACTTTCTTTCTCTCAGTCATGACTTTCCTGCATGTTGCCAACTTTATCTATAGTTCAGATGGAAGCGGGTTCAAAAGTGACACGATAAGACCACCCTCGGTTGGCCGTCTTTCAAAATGTCTTTTTTAAAAGCTGCTCTGAAGCCCGGTGAGAAGCTGGGACGTCTTATCGATTTCACTGCTTAAAACCAGTTGAGCCATGAGAGGGATTCTGAGGAAGCGGAGAATGAGAGGCATTAAAGGAGGACTTTTAGACCTTGAGAAAAGAGACAGATTGTGGAAAGTGAAGTGAGACTTAAAGGGTTTTACACGGTATGCGTGGACATCTTTTTGGGCTTAAAGTACGGCAGAGCTGCAGGTATTTGTCACTAAAATGAGCCGTCCCAAGGTGCAAATGAAAATGTTCCTTCAGAGAGCCAACAGCAGCTCCATGTTTAGCTCCATTAAAGAAGGAAAAAGTCATTCAATCTAAAAAAAAGAAGCTTTGATCATTATGGAAACTGTTATTATATAATAATGATAATGCGTTATTAGTTGCAGCCCCAATTGCTTTTCAATAAAATGGAGATGATTTAAATTTACTTTTACTTTCTTTTCTGCTACAATTGTGTTTTAAATTGCACCATCCCAGGGAGGTTTTAGAAACCCCTTGAGAAGGTTTGATTCCCTGATTTATTTGTTTCCCATTTTTTCCCATTTACTGCTGAAAAAGCAACTTAAGCCATGTATACTTGTCAGGAGTGAGGCAGCACTGTGACTCCGGTATCCATAACATGTAAGAATAAGACATCCACCAGTCAAGGCCGGATGGTCTGGATACAGAGACATCACGCATGTTTTCAAAAGAACCAAAGAGCATTTGAGTGTGTGTGTGTGTGTGTGTGTGTGTGTGTGTGTGTGTGTGCATACTGTGCCTGCCAGTGTTTGAAAGTCAGTGTGAGAAAGTAAAAGGAGAATATCAGCGACCCCTCAGGCCTTGAAACACCCGAGGGGCAGCAAAGCGTGAGAGAAACCACAGCGATCAATACACAAGTACACACGAAGGACCGGTTGCGTATTGATTAGTACCGTGTGCTCTGGTTTTTCACTACTTGTCAACTTTTATTTTGCTTCGGTGAGGAAGCTTCTGTGTGACCTACTTGGATGTGGTCGCACATTTAAAAAAACGTGGGATGTTCAAAGAACTACAGAGGAAATGTGTTCGGCTCTTTCTAGCACTGAATACACCTGAAACAGCGATACAGTGTGCGTTCACGAACAATTTCTGACACAATAAGACAAATTCAATATGGCTATAATTGAGTACAGTAAAGCTAATTAAAACGCTCGTAGAAATTGGGTCATCTTCGTCGCAAGCTAATTATAAAAGGACGACTTTGATCTCTGAGGTGAGCCCATTTGAAATGCCTCCTGTGGCTGTTTGAAACAAGGGGGGGGGCTGATGGTGGTGTTGCCGTTTCCACATTGTTCCTGAACAATTCCCCGCGAGCCTTAACATTTACATAGAGGAATGGAGCCGGTGATTATTTAGTAGAGTGTAATGTAAAGCTGGAGGAAGCCTGCTGCCCCAGCTGTTTACTGTGACGGGGACAGTCTGTGTTGTGCTCGGACTCATAAGGTCAGCGGACATATGGAGCATACGGCCCGAATAAACAGACATCTGGACTCCAACTGCGTCCAACCAATGTCACAGAAAACAGTTTTTTAGGAGCAAAGGACCGAGCCGGTAAGGGAGTTTGAATCAGTGTTGGATAGTAAGAAAGTACACAAACTCAGGTAGCATGTAAGGTATTTTTCTCACAGCACAAACAAACAAGGGCCAGACGCTAATAGAGTGGTGCAGGAATAAGTCCTAAAACCCAGAAATGATTTAGCATTTTAGCACTTTCAGTTCCCTCGTCTTGAAGTCAATGTTTTTTTTATGTTTAGGTTGGATACCTAAATATAAGGTCTCTGGTTAACACAGATTTTAACATTATGTTCTATGATATAACATAAATCAGTAAACATCTCTCACAGGCTCACACTCATGTAACTGTGGTGTAGTTGGTTTACAGCATAACTTTAGCTTTTTTACTCCTGCCGATTGGATTTACTCTTCAAAATCATCATAAAACTGGTGTTCGTTTATGAAAATGATCTTGCTGAACAAAACATGTAAGTGTCACAAAGGTTTGTTTTACCTCAGAGCTTATTTTCTGCAGTAATCGAAAGGAAAAATCCCTTTGGCTTATTGTCGAGGGAACCAGTGCAATGGTAACCTCTGGGGTTGGCCCACAAAAATGATTCACCTCCGCAGCACTTAAAAGAAACATTGACGTGAGGTAGAATTACCTGCAGTTGATAGGTCACATGTTCGACGTCTTCTTGATTAATTTGCACGTCATTATATTTGTCCAAACCTTTTTTTTTTTGGTCATGACTACTTTCATACAGGATGCGAATATAACACGGCAAAAAAAAGCGAAATTTTCTTTTTTTTGGAGCAAGGTTGATTTTTCTGAACCCTCACACTGCTAATAGAGGCATCAACCAACAATGTTGTGTGGAGTGGACATATTGAAACTATACACAATAGTGTACTACAACAACAACAACAAGGAGGTAACTCAGAAAACTTTATTACTCCTTTCAATCTTGACAAAGGACCAGACCAGATTCAAATAAAGGCCTGGATGTCTCTGCACTAAATAATTAAGAACGACACTAAAGTAGTAACACGTCCACCTAATACATGAAAACTGCTTCTTAAACATCAATGAATCAGTAATAAGAATTCAATAATTTAATACATAGAATAATGTAACACAGTCAAAGAAGCTATTCTGCATAATGAGCATTTTTATTTTTGGCCTTTTTGGTATATTTAGCTTTTATATTCGTCTCCTTCTGTATTTTCTTTAATCAGCATACTTGTGCATTTGTATGCTGCAGTATTGCTTTTACTTAGGTAAAGGTTCTGAATACTAAAATGAAAAATAAACACTATGAGCAGCAACATGAACGTCTTCTGATTTTGTGTCTGGAAGTAAACAGCACGATGCAGCGAAGCGGGGGGGAAAATAAAAAGGTCGCTTCCATTGTGTCCACTTGATAAACATTCAATCTCGAGCCGTTATCTTTGCAATAAACACTTCCCTCCTCCGGCTTCTCTCTTAGCGCTGTTATCAGGTAAACAGCCTCTGCTGCATTGCTGAGGTGCACCACGGCTGCACGTTCCTGGACCTACCCAGTCAGAAATGTGTTCCAGTGAACATGAATACGTCCCTCTGTGGATGTCCTTGAGCCTGCGAGAGGTTGTCTCTAAAGACTAGTGTGTGCTGGGTGTATGCCGAGTGGGCGAAAGTCAATAGCAGCGTTACTCCCTCCTCGCCCACTCTGAGAGCTCTCCCCCAATCTCTCTCTCTCTCTCTACATTGAGAGAGGCACACTTCAGACACGCTGGGAAAGCAGTTTTTCCAGGCATCAAATTAATTGTCAAGGTCAGACAACAAAGGAAAGGGGTGTGTGTGTGTGTGTGTGTGTGTGTGTGTGTGTGTTGCAGGCGCTGTACTTTCCTTCTCTGGTTTTATTAAGTGAATAGAGAGTTGGACCTGAATCCTAAAGGCAGTGAAAAATTAGTCTCTGCAGCTCGGTGTTTCAACTCAGCCAGCAATTCTTACTCTTTAAGATGGACAAGAAGATTACTAGAGATTTCTTTAATTCTTTTGTAAAGCTATAACTTTATTCTCTTCTATATCACATTTTTTGGCGACAGGAGTGCCAAAGTGACGCATTTGGGCCTCTTCCGACTGAGAATCTGTGAAGTTTCACACCGATCCCCCGATGGCTGAAGGGGGAATTCAATAAGTCAGGATGGCATGTATGGAGGTTGTTCACTCACCTGTTCAAGGTTGCATACTTGTAACTTTATTTGACCGTTGTGATATATTTATCATCACCTGTACAATACTTTGAATCTCTAAATACCAAACTGACCCGCACGGTTCAAGTCATTGCAATAATAATTACAAAACAATCAGTTTAAGATTTCTGATCTTTAGACAATCGGACACGTTTGCAGAGGACTCACTTTCACGCTAACACTTTACTCCACTGACTGATAAAACACATCATGTATTCATTTGTTGAATAAATCACCGAGCACACTATTTTATAAAAATCAAAGTAGCTCCTCCTCAAACTGTGAAGTGGTGCTGAGTCAGCGCGACGCTCCAAATCACGGGCATGATTTAGGGGAGGCGAAAGCGGGGGAGATATTAGTTTTCGCGTGGAAGCCTTTATGTGCTTGGCTATGAAGGTTTAATGACAGAAGGCTCAACAATAAACATGATTTGTTATGCGCTCGGTGCTCGGAGCTGATCTTTATTTCCCCCCGGACAGAACGGCTGCAGGCAGTCTATCTCTGCTCAGGGGGGGGCAACCAGAGAGTTGGATTTACGGACGCTGATGGTCATCTCACGCTTGTCTCCTGGTGTCTGTATTATTCTAACCCCGCTGAGTCAGGACGTTAAAGCTGTCAATAGATTTATGAGAAAAATGTAAAGTGGTGCAGTATCTAACTTCGGCGAAACACCAAACTATTAGCAAAGTTGGTTTTCTAAAAGGCACGACGCGTGCGGAAAAAAAATTCTATATTTTAGTTTCGAACATGAGTCATTACTGATGAACAATCATGTGCAAGTTTAGAACAAATGGCACCGTTTTAGAGCTCACGCTGTCATGACTGGAGGGCATTTTATATGACCAAACTGTCAAAAATCTGTAAACAGATTTTTTATTTTTTTTTAAATATGACGAACAAACTAATTCATATGTTATGTAATGTTCTCCCCCTGAACTCTCGTCGGATCATGATGAGATCTGACGGAAAGCCCTGGTGTGTGTGTGTGTGTGTGTGTGTGTGTGTGTGTGTGTGTGTGTGTGTTTTCTGATGGAAGCTGTCCTTCAGACCCCGGTACTGTCAATCATGTGACATTGCCTTTTTAAAGCTCGTCTTGCGTACGTGAGCCCACATGTACTTTAAACTGTGGCCCACTTTCCCTCCCTCGCTCACATCCTGTCTGTGTGTCAGTCATTCTCTGTCTCTCTTTTTTTCTGTGCACTCGCAGTAAGTCGCTGCTGATGCAAATATAAGGGGATGTTTTGAAAGTAAACGTCATAAAATTGTGTAACTTTTTTATTACCTTGTTCTCCAGATGTCTTGTTGTTGCCAGCAGCTGCCCCAGATCCTTGTCTCTGCAACGCAAAAACAGAGAAACATGAATGAGATGGACATTTTCTTTTTCACAGCACTTCCACCAGACTTCAGCAAAACAATAGAAGATCTCCCACAATCCTGTCATCATATCCAAACGAGTTGAATACGCGCCACTGGTCTTCGCCCTTTACTAATTAAGCCTCGTCCTCACGATTGTTCTGACATCTACTGGGGGCTAAGCTGCCACCTAATCTGCTCGCACGCTCTCTAAAGCCTCCACTCTGGAGTCTTTCAGCCAGTGGGGTCCCCTTGTTATGACCTCATGAGCTGGACAGAGGAGGCCCTGCAGGCTGAGGGCCCCGTGACAGTAACAATGACCAGCAGGGAAACCATGCCAGAGGTGTTGCGGTTTACTACACTTTTGGCACTGTGACACTACAGAGGTCAGAAAGATATCGATATAGAACAAAGGAAATTACCTAGTTCCCTCAGTATGTTTTATTCTGAGAGTTGTCTAAACTCTCAAATGCATCATGTTTTCATAGAATATATATTTACAGTATAAGGTCTCGTTAAACCATTGAATAAAGGCTTCAAATTCGTATTTTTCACAATAAAATAAAAGTCACAGAATAAATCCCATAGTGTACTTTAATGGAGTGTGAACTCCATCTTAAATAATTTACACCCTGAAACAATGTACCCACTCGCATCAATATATATTACTGAAATATGTATTACACATTCATATAATATCCCCACATTCTGCTTATATGAAGGGTTTCATTCAAAAACAGCTTCATTTAAGGGTTAGAGAATTCAGATTAGTGTTGGTTCTTCTCGTCCATATGGTAATAATCACATTCACTCTTATTTAAATTCATTTCACACCACAAGGTAGTGTACAAAAAAAAGGGCAGACTGATGCAAATGAGAAAAGCACCTATACTGTAGAACCAAACACCTCTATACAGTCTGAAGCCTCCCCAGGTGTTACTGTGCACTCTCCTGCTCAACAAACGGCTTTCCAGATGTGCTGATTGCACAACGGCACGTGGCCACACTCGGCCGATACAACACAATCATTGCACTCTTGCATACTAATGCGGCAGCATTTATCTAAATGTCGACTCTCATTACTCCGCAGCCATTTGTTTCCGGCGCCGTGTTCTGTATTCCAAATGCCTGCTTTCCTCATATTAAACCGCAAATAGGCCCCGTTCTCTGGAGAAATAACCCAGAGTGGCCGCGTTAATGTATGTCTGCCTCCATGTCGTCTGACGTGTGAGTTTGTCAATGTTCACTTAAAAATAGATTTAACGCAACGGAGCTGAAAGAGTTTCACCTCATGACGACATGTCCACCGTCTGACTCTGCTTACATGAATGTTATTTAGAGAGAAATGAAAAAAAAAAATCATAAAACAAAGGCTATATGGCATGTTTGAAATCAAATCCTTCTACGCAGAGGTGTACAGGGTTGAGGCAGGAGCCGGCGGCATTAGAGGTGTGAAAAGGGTAAAGCAGACATCGTGTTAGAGAGGAGAACAGCAGTGACACTCCATCACAATGAGCAGGTTAGGGAAAGCTATTCTTAGAACCAGAGAGTCCGGCTTTTAACGTGCAGCAGAGAAAGAGGGAGAAGAGATATCACAGGGAATGATGGAGGAGCCAGAGGAAGTGTGGATTGAGGAAGGGAAGCTAGGAGGAGAGGTATCATCATTAGTGTCTTATTAATCACACACTGTTTTAAAGGTGGCACTGGGGAGACGGGTTCTGCTGAAAAGATGCAGCATTTTGTTAGTTTAGATGTTCAATGTTTATCATGTGCTCGATATCATATTCAATAGAAAACGATCTGTAATTCAATGAAGGTGACCTCTTAAAAGGCTTTCTCACAATTACCAGTGTCCAATAATTCAAAACTAGTTTTGAGAATGATTACGTTTTGTATCGATTGATTTTGTATTCAGATTTTGGGAATTACTCTTTTGCTAAAAGTTGAAAGATAGATACCACTCTCGCGTCTGTGTAGACGGGTTTCCTGGAAAACTCGTGGTAAACAAGTAAAATGACTATCCAGAAAATACAGTATGTGTCGCAGACCGTTAACCTCAGTGCTAATGCGATGGCATTAAATGATCCTCTTGTTTGTTTGCTGCTCCTCCACATCAGCCCATTGCTAATTAATTCAGCATTAGGCCCTCCTCGTTATAACCGATGTCCCTCGGCCGCTGTTCGGCACCGCCTTGGTGCCCCATTTATCTTCACAGCCACAACCAAAGAGCAGTTGGGATTCAGTGGAGAGAAAGAAGTGCAAAAAAACTCCAGACTCCAACACTCTGTCACTGCCACACACACAACTCATAAAAAAAACATTCAGAGTAGGACACCATGAAGGAAATGCTCCCCTGTGAAAACCCCCAGAAACCGTCCAAACCTGATGGTGAGCACTGATGTTGACTTATTCCTTTATGAGGAGGTAGCTGGAACGGGGACCTTGTGTTATATTTCCTATACGTTCATTTTCAAATTGTCTTGTTAAAGCTTTGTTTTGTTTTATGCACAGCATTTAGTAAAATCAGAGAAAACCGCTTGTATTTCAATCAAGCGCTTCATATGGATTGATGTCTTTTGTATTCCATTCTTGAACAAATTTGGAGGGAAAGCACCGGGGAGTGGTAACAACACGGAGTAAACAGGAAACGGTTTCATTTAGGTAGCGCGTGTCTGGCCGCCTCCCGAGGGAGACTCAGCTCTAGCTACTTCCGCCACGACCTTTCTGCAGCCGTTCCGCCGCTCGCTCAAAGGTTTCCCGTTTGGTCACGTCAGAAGGGTTTCCGTGCTTTAATGGCCGAGGAGTGGAGAAAGGCCTCTTTTTTTTTTTTTTTTTCCCCAGAGCTTCTCTTTCTGCATTATTAATCCGATGCTTTCAATGAATTTCAAACGGCGTGTGCTGTGCTTTGATGCTGGGGAGAGGGGACGGGTGGTGGTGGGGTGGGGGGGGTCTTCAAGCATCCTTGCAAGCAAAACACACCCAGAAGAAATTCCTAATTTGAGGATCGGTCTTTGATGAAATTCAGAAGGAAACAACACTTGAAGTGTGTAAGAGAGGCATTCTACACTACAGTTTGTGTTTACCTGTCGAGCCAATCAGGACGATACCTGTTCCCGCTTTTCATTTGTCTGTCAGGAAAACGAAAGTGAAAGGACTCATCACGTTGCTTTGTGGTGTCACACAGCTGAGCTCTCTTCCACCCCCGCCCCTGCAGCTCCACACAAATATCAGAGGCAGATAAGAGCACAGTTTTGTTTCTCCCTGTTACTAATCCCAGTTCAAAGAGAAGAGCCGAGCCCCTCCATCCGCCTCTTGTAATGGCCATGAAATGAACTGGTGCCTGCGTTGGAGGCTCTGTGGCTGCTCCACTACAGCACCAGCTGGGTGAGAGAAGGGAAACCAGTCTGTCCACACTGCACCACATCAGCACTCTCAAACCAAACTGACCTCAAGCTCATCTGCTTCAGTTACTTGTGTTTGCTTTTGAAGACATGATGTTGATGTAAAAATTGCAGCACTGTTGCAAAAAGATAAATGTTGTATTAAAGACAGAGGCCCGCTGTGAAGGTTATATTGGCTTCTGCATCATTTAAACATTCCCACAGGCCTATCAGAAGATTCAAAAGGCATATCATAGGCTGTGTTCACTCTGCAGGCGAAAGTGGCCGAGATCAGATGTTTTGTTCATATTACTAAGATCATTATTTATTTATTTTTTCATGGATTTGGATCACTTTTATATGTGGTCCTAAATCAGATACAGGACTGCACAGTTCTGCTCTGTGAAGCCATTCACATGAAGATCACCACACACACACACACACACACACACTACAGAAGCAGCCTTTGCTCCACGAAACGCCATAAATTAGAAATGTGGCTGCCTTTCCCTTTCTCTTTATCCTAGTTCTTGTTGACGTCTGCTCACGGATTCACTGGCTTCCAATGCACATGGATTTATAACTGAAAGTGTAAACACCGACTTCAATCGTGTTAACTTCGGTACAACGGCGTCCTGTGTGTGACGTCTTTGTTAATGTTCTTTATCGCAAGCGGGTCAGTACAGGAACGTGACAACTCACACTTGAATTGATTTTGGTCACATTAAAAAAAAAAAAAACAGCCAAACAGGAAACAAAAAGAATCAGATGTGTGCTCTAATGCTTGCAGTGTCAATGTAGCCTCGTAGACGCATGTTCCTGTTCTTACAATGCATTTGACCGACTGTCTATAACAAAGATACTATCATACCTAAATCACCTTCCTCTCATTTTAGCTTTGTTGTTCAATAACGGGTCATATTTCCGTTGTTTGGAGAACATCTACTTCTTTCCCCCAAAAAATATATTTAGTATACATTTCTTCGTAGTTTATACCGTAATGTGCATAGAGGTGGAAATTACAATTTGGTGCTGATGTTGTTCGTTTCTTCTTCTTTTTTGTAGCCAATCAGTTGCATCTCTGTTCAAATGGATATCAGTGAGCAATCATACGTGGTGACATTAATTTGCTAACAGAGTTAACCCACTAAAAAAAGCGTACAGTCATCATGGCTAATGATTTGACATGTTTTCATGGTTGTAAAGCTCTCTCCATCCATAGTAAAAATAAATAAAAACCATAACCAACAAAATGAGAGTTTGGTTAGAATTAGAGGTCTTAACCTGACGGCACTATGAGAAATCTCTCCTGTGAGATACCAACGCTGTCGATGTGGGCGCCGCTCGGCCATGACCATCCCGATGTTACACTCAGAACGGGCTCTGCGGGGTTATAACTCGGCTCAAATACAAGACGTGACCGGAGGTCATTTTGTTTATGGCGAGTGGTGATGAGAAACTGTAACGCTCCCCGAGGGCAGCGGAGAGAGGAGGATCCATTACGGGCGAGCAGCTCTGGGGCCGAGCCAAATGTAAGCTGCAATAACAGCGAGAGAGATTACCGACAGGGGGCAAAGGGGGCTATCTTCGCTCTGCTGATA